GACTAGTTTTTAGACCCCACACTTTTACTCCCATCTGAGTAATATACTGTAGTGTAACAGTACTCTTACTAGAGTAAAAGTTGTGCTTCCTTTTTGCAGTGACAAAAGCTTTATGTTGACAGTGTTAAATTAGAGATGCACCAATCCAACTTTTTTAATTGTGATACCGATTCCAATACTATATCTTTGCCCATCTGCCAACACCTGATATTAACTGAGACTGAAAACAGCATTTCCTTTTAACAAAAATAAAAAAAGACAAAGCTGCTTCCAAATGTGTCATGTAAGTAGTAAGAAAGAAGATAATCTCCCAGTGTATCCTGTTTATCATTGATTATGCTGACATAGTTTATGATAACACCTACAATAAACATCTTAAACCACTACATGTATTGTTCAACACATTATGTAGATTCATCTTAAAATGTTCATATAGAAATCATCACTGTGAGTTATATGATCGGCTCGACTGGTTACAGCCTGAAAAAAAAGATGACACTCCATCTGGTTTCTGTTTATCTTTAAATGCATTTATTTGGTCTTTCCATCATATCTCAAACGTTCCCTTGCCCAGTCTACCACAATTTACTCTTTTCAACATTCTCAGTATCTAACATTTACTGTACCTCTCATCTGTAAAGAGGTGGGCCAGAGTTTCTTTCATTTAAAAGCCCCTCAGACTGGAACAATCTGCCTCTTCACTGAGGTCTCGAACTTCTCTCAGCTCCTTTAGAACGACTCTGTTAACTCATCTGAAAACTGACGGTCACTACTGTTGATTCTATTAACACTGTGTTTGTGTTAATGATGGGGATGTAACAGTAAATGAAATATCATAATATTGTATCATCAAAGTTCTCACAGTAATATCGTGGATCATCACAATATATCGAATCACAAGTCTCTTTGCTTAAATTAGGGGTTATGGTGCTAGAGAACTACATAGACCATGATCCTTTGCTCCATTTCAGTGCAGGCTACAAGAAGAAATAACAGTTCTAAGCACTTTTAAGTCTTAGTTGTTTGGATTAAGTCTTGTCAAGGCAGAGGAAAAAAGTAGCATATTAACAGTTTTGTTAGCCTCCACAAAATATCCCAATAAATATCCTACCGTGAGATGTATATCGTGAAAATATCATACTGAGAGATTTGGATATTGTTACATCTCGAATCATGAGCCTCCCCACCATATTATGAGCTTTCCCATGATGTCGCAATAAATATCATAATGTGTGGTTCATACCGTGATGATATCGTATCGTGAGACTTGGATATCGTTACATTCTTAGTGAATGACTATATGAGGTGAACATATGGGGGGTGGGGAGGGATGTGAGCAAAACTGTCCTGTTACTTGTGTTGTATGTATGTATGTATGTATGTATGTATGTATGTATGTATGTGTTAGAATAGAATAGAAATAGAAAGCCTTTATTGTTATTATACAATATGATGAAATTCAGAGCTGCTCCTTCAAAGTGCAAGAATAATAAATAAAACAAATTAACAGTTCTCATTCAGTATGGTGACAGCTTTGGGGAAGAAGTTGTCCCTGAGTCTGTTGGTCTGAGCTGGAATTGACCTGAAGCTCCTGCCAGAAAGCACCAGGTTGAAGAAGTGGAATCCAGAGTGTGTATTGTCCTTAATTATTTTCCTCGCTCTACTGAGACAGCGGGGGTTGTATAATGTTCTTAAGGAAGGCAGAGGGCAGCCGATCATGTCTTGTGCAGTGTTGGTGACCCTCTGCAGACGCTTTCTGTCAGCCTCTGTGCAGCTAGAGTGCCACACTGTCACAGCAGAGGTCAGCAGGTGACCAATGGTGGAACGATAGAAGGTCACCAGCAGCTTGTGTTTAGTTGCTCCTTCATGAGCTCCTCAGGAAGTATAGCCACTGCTGGGCCTTTTTGACCAGTGCTGAGGTGTTGACTGACCAGGAGAGATCAGCAGAGATGTGAACCCCAAGGAATTTGAAGAACCCCACTCGCTCCACACTTTGGCCGTTGATGTACAGGGAGGGCAGAGGTGGCTCTGTTGGTAATGTTCAGTTCCAAGTTATTATTTTCACACCACTCGCTGAGTTTCAGGACCTCATCTCTGTAGGGCGCCTCATTCCCCTCTGTTATCAGCCCCACCACCGTCTTGTCATCAGCAAATTTGACAGTGATGTTCTGTGGGTGGGTGGGACTGGAGTTGTGAGTGTAGAGCGAGTAGAGGAGTGGGCTCAGCTGTATGCAGTTGTATGTATTGTATTGTTAAACTATGTGTCTGTAAAAGAGAATAAACTGCATCTCAAGGGGCTTTCCATGAAAAAATTCTAATTAAAATGTATGTAATTGTGATTTTATCCCTATAGTAACTGCAGAACAACTTTATAAATCCAATCTGAAAGTCAATATCTGCACCAGAAAATTGTTCAGTATCAGTGCCGATATCGGACCGGCTCATCGATATGTGAAATAGTTTGAACATTTGTGTTTCTTCTAGCTCTCCTACAGTTTTTTATACAGTTTTTAAGATTTATTTTACATTCACTTCAAATTATTTTTCATCCAGACTTCTCTACACTTGTACTTGAGTAATATTATTTTGAAGTAATAGTACGTTTACTTGAGTCCACATTTTGGCTGCTCTATGTACCTCTGATATACGAGTAATAAAACATGTCCTCTCAAGGCAAACTAGACAATAGGTGTAAATAAACACAATCTTGAAGCCTGAAATCCCTCTTTTGTGCGTTGTTTGTTGTGCAGGATATCAGTTGATTTGGGTGCAGTCTTTGTCTGTGGTTATGTTAATGAGGCCTCTCTAAAGTGTGATAAGATGAGGACTCAGAGGAGACTCGAACCAGGACTAAACCAGGATTAAAACCAGGATTAAGCCCAATTTGCCGGGGGCTTTTTGCTTTATAACCAAACCCAGACTAGACCCCAGGGCAGAGACCACAGACGATCGCAGGAGAACAAGATTAGAAGATGCACTCTAAAAACATGGGTCGAACAATTCCTAAAAAAAATAACAAAACAAAACAAAAAAAACAAAACACTTAAATTCGTTAACACACAGGGGTACAGGATGGGAGGGCATCAGGCAAATGGATAAACCAGGACTAAACCAGGATTAACAAAGATCAAACTAGAACTAAACCACTACAAAACCAGGACTAATCCAGGACAAAACCAGGACTAAACCAGGAACCAAAGGACAAACTAGGACAAAGACAGGACTAACTAAAGGACAAACCAGGACTAAACCAGAAACAAACCAAACTAGGACTAAACCAGTACTAACAAAAAACCAGGACTAAACCAGTACAAAACCAGGACTAATCCAGGACAAAACCAGGACTAAACCAGGACTAAACCAGGACCTAACAAAGGCCAAACTAGGACTAAACCAGTACAAAACCAGGACTAAACCAGTACAAAACCAGGACTAATCCAGGACAAAACCAGGACTAAACCAGGACCTAACAAAAAACCAGGACTAAACAAAACAGGACAAACCAGGACTAAACCAGAATCTAACAAAGACAAAACCAGGACTAAACCAGGACCTAACAAAGATCAAACTAGGACCGAACCAGGACTAAACCAGAACCTAACAAAGGCCAAATTAAGGACTAACCCAGGACTAAAGCAGGGCCTAACAAAGACCAAACTAGGACTAACCCAGGACCTAACAAAGACCAAACTAGGACTAACCCAGAACCTAACAAAGACTAAACCAGATAAAGGGCATCTGACACACAGAGATAGGAGATGGGAGGGCATCTGACACTAAACCAGGGCTAAACCAGGACTTACCAAGACCTAAACCAAAACCTAAAAAAGACTAAACCAGGAAAAGGACATCTGACATACAGAGGAGGATGGGAGGGCATCTGACACACAGGGACACAGGAGGATGGGAGGGCATCTGACATGTTTGTAGAGTCTTTCTTTGTGTCACATGTGGATCAGTTGTGCTGCTTGTGATGGAGCGAAAAACACAGAAATAAAGAGTTCAGTGTAGAAGTGTGCCCAAGGGACCAACAAGATCAGAGACCAGGGAAAACCCAGGTCTGAACCAGAACTGAACCAGGTCTGAAACAGGACTGAACCACTTCTGAACCAGGACTATACCAGGTCTGAAACAGGACTGAACCAAGACTAAACCAGGTGTGAACCAGGAATAAACCAGGTCTGAAGCAGTTCTAAACTACAATAGGTCTATACCAGAACTAAACCTGGACTGGACCAGGTCTAAACCAGGTCTAAATCAGGTCTAAACAAGGTCTAAACAAGGTTTGAACCAGGACTAAACTACAGTAGGTCTATACCAGGACTAAACCTGGATTGGACCAGGTATAAATGACTAAATCAGGTCTAAACAAGGTCTAAACCAGATCTGAACCAGGACTGAACCAGGTCTAAACTACAGTAGGTCTAAATGAGAACTAAACCAGGAATGAACCAGGACTAAACCAGATCTAAACCAGGTCTAAACCAGGTCTAAACAAAGTCTAAATAAGGTCTAAACCAAGTCTGAACCAGGAATGAACCAGGTCTAAACTACAGTAGATCTAAACCAGGACTAAAAAAGGTCTAACAAGAAATGAACCAGGTCTAAACCAGGACTAAATCAGGTCTAAACCAGGACTAAATCAGATCTAAACAAGGTCTAAACCAGGTCTGATCTAGGACTGAACCAGGTCTGAATTACAGTAGGTCTATACCAGGATTGAACCTGGACTAAACCAGGTCTAAACCAGGTCTAAACCAGGTCTAAACCAGGTCTAAACGAGGACTAACCCAGGACTAAACCAGGACTAAACCAGGACTAAATTAGGTCTAAACAAGATCTACACAAGGTCTAAACATAACAACATGGAGAAAAGCATTTGACAGTCAGACTTACTCAAGAGTAAACCAGGACTAAAGAGGCACTAAACTTCACCATTCTGTCAGAAAGCTTTAAAAATGTTCATAAAAAAATAACACATAAGACAGGGCCTCTCTCAGATAAACTCTTATTTATTCATGTTCATAATTTATCAATAATTCTCTCTCTGTACATTATTGTAATCATATAAACAATCTCTGGATCATATTTTCATTCCATACACTTGAGTTGCACATTTACAGAATAAGACACATACACGAGATTTGAACTTTACACATTCGTACACCAGTGCTACACACACTGGGGGCAAGCGGGGGAGGTGTCTTGCCCAAGGACACATGGAGCAAGATTGAACCAACAACCTCATGGACGGTGAATGGCATGCTCTATACGTCCTAACCTTTAGCTGCTTAGTGTCTGCGGAACTAGAACATTCACATACAAAGGTGAACAGATGGGCTGAATGTTTGAACAGAAAAGTCGTATCCATTGTTTTGACATGATGAACAATCAGGACTGTTGTCATGGCGATGAAGGGTGAAAAGTCCTCAAAATGGACCCATGGATAGAGAACAGAGGAGAAAGTCCAACTACAGTCCAGAGGAAGTAGAAATTGTGATAAAAGTGTCTATACTAGAAGGAAACAATGAGGAGACTTGTGTTCATCTGCACGGAACACCTACAGTTCAGAGGGTGACCATCTCAGGAGGACGCTGCGAGTGAGGCTGCAGACTGAAGAGGAGATCACTCTAATACAACTTATACTTTTACTATGGTTTTACACAAGTCTTGGTCACCTAAAGGGCCCATCTCATGCAAAATAATTCTTTTCACATTGTATCTTCTACACATAAACAAGCACAATTTGGGTTTGGAACATCCATTACACAATAGTTCTGAAATCTTATTAATTTCTTGGAGACAATCACAGACCAGGAACTATGAAAGACTGACTATTCCTCATCCCCCCGCTCGTCCTGAGAAAGCACAGACAGAAAACGTGACGTAGGCTCTGAGTGAGCCGCCCTTCCTCCGCCCATCTCAGGGAGGGAGGGGGAGACAGGCGTGCACCCTGATAGCAGCAGGAATAAACTTTTATTCATCATGGAGATACAGCACGTTCAGCCGCATGTGTTGGACCCGGAATCAGACGAGGACTTTGAGGTGCACGAAGCTCAAGCACCGCGTCCACATCAGCTGAACATTACTGATTGGTAATTAGTATTAAGTATTAATAAACACTAGTAGATAAATTTATTATATTGTGTTCACTGCAGTCGGGGTAGAGGCGGTAGAGCGGGGGAGGGGGGCGGGTGCGAAGCGTTTTCTGCTACGTCAAACGCGTCATAGGTGTAGCTGCCGCGTAATCGTTGTAGCAGCTTTAGTTCGTTGTCACGTGGGAGGGTGGCAGAAATACTCTGCAATTTGTTTTTAAAAAATGCCAAATCAATCTAAAAACCACTTGGGCGACATATACAAGGCCCACACATCACTCTTAGAAGGTAGAAAGCTCTGAAAAGGTGATTTTGCATGAGATGGGCCCTATAAGATGATGTGAGTGACTCTGGAGTTATAGATTGACTCTTGTTTTGGTGTAGGACGGAGGCATAATGCTCCAGGTAGATAGAGAGTGACCCAGGAGAAGCTCAGAGTAGAGCCGCTGCTCCTCCACATCAAGAAGAGCCAGCAAGAGTGGCTGAGGCATTTGTTACAGATGCTCTGAAGGGCTCGTGTTTACCCAGGGCCCAATACAGAGAGGCAGTGTTGCCAGATTGGGCGGGTGCCTGCTCAGTTGGGCTTCTTTTGACAAAGTCGAGCGGGCAGATCATATTTGGGCAATTTTCAACAAGTTTGGGCATTTTTTGTTTTCACACCAATCAACACGATACACAATAACACAAGCTCTCCGGCCTGTGCACAAATGAATGGACGTCTGCTACGTTCAGACCTCCCCGGCAGCTGTTGCAGAGATTTAATTTGATGTATGAGTTTCAGGCTCTGTGTTTGCTGTTCTTGCAGTAGCCGAGGCTGTAGCTGAACACTGATGATATTCACTTTTGTGCTTGATGAAAACGCTGTTCTATGTTTTGCCAGAGGTTTTATATAACCTGGCAGTTTTATAAATCCTGGCAATGTTTTTAAAAAGTCTACAGATTAAATACCCTAGAACATTTTAAATTAAATATTAAATGTCCTTTTTTCTGTGATAAATGAAAATACTGTTCTACATTTAACATTTAACACATTTTCTCAATACTGACAATGTTTTTCAAAAGCCCAACAATGGATCACATACGTTTATTCAAAGATGAAATGGTTTCTGTGTCAAAATCTTGTGGGTTTTTTGTTTTTGTTTTTTTTGCTTAAGAGGGTGGGTTTCAAACGTGACTGGGTGGAAATCATTAAACCCAATCTGGCAACACTGAAGAGAGGGTTCCTCGTAGTCTGTAATGTGTATTTTGTATATACAGAGAACGTAAAGTACAGGCCCACCAGCATGACTTGTACCCAGGGCTCAGTTTTATTCTACACATGATAACTGATGTTACTTATTACAGATGTGTTATTGTCTTTAAAGAAACCTGATTATGAGCTGGTAACGAACATGAATACACTTGTTATTGCTGTTTTTTATTCTGCATTCTTCTCTTTGCAAGTTCATTTGATGATGCTTATTCATGTTTTGATGTGTTTGTATTGTGATTTTAATGTATTTCTTTTTCTGTAAAGCACTGAAAAATAAGAATTGTGCTATACAGATAAACTTGCCTTGCCTATTTGTCTGATAGTGTTTATTGTATGATAGTAGGAAACTGATACTGTATAAATGACATGTAAAACGTAATGACCAATATATGGTACTTGTATCCACTCCTTCATCTCTTATGACTGTCCGACTGCAGTGGGCGGAGCATTAGCCACGTTAGCGGCTGCCCCCACCCTGAGCAGCTCCTTCCTGTGGGTGAGGATGAGATCGAAGCTGGACTGGAGGCGGTTCTGTTGCTCTTGGACCCGGGTCTGCAGAGTCCGGACCCATCGGATCAGAGCCAGACGTCTGTACATGGTCAGCTGGGTCTGGTGCTTCTCCATCTCCTGAGCTTTGAAACGCTCACGATCTCTGAGCGTCCACACGGCGTCCAGCAGCTCCCCGCGCTCCCCGTCCGAGTCTGAGGACTGATCTTCATCTGAGATACAGTGAACAGAGGATACAGAGAGCATGAACACAGGATAAATACAGGAGGAGAGTAACAGGAGTCAGTTGTCCTGTGCTCTTAGAGACCAAGAGCTGGATAGAATAACTATGACTAAGACTATGATTATAACTATGTTAGAGGAGCTTTGAACATATGAAAATATTCTACAGAAAGTACCACCACAACAGTTTGAGATATCCTAACAGGAGCTTGCCTGGTCAGCCAAGACTACATGCAGTTTCTAAACTTTACAAAGATAAAGTAGTCTGGGACTGGATCCTGGTCCAGGTTGATACAGGTTCTGATGCCCATGACTGACACAGAATTAACCAGCCAGAGAAACTCATGCTGCGTTCAGACCAGGATGTCAAATACACGCTGGATGCTTCTAGTTGGATGCCTTAGCATTGAGTGTAGACGTCCCTGATGCACTATTGGCACCATGAACTAATGACCTGATTAAGTCCTGGTCTAGTCCTGGTCCAAAAAAGTTCCAAAAGTTCAGCATTTTCAGCTTCTGACGCCGACACCCTGGACAAGTGTCCAGAGTGTTGACGCCTGAATGCTTCAAGACGTGCTGTGTCGATACCAGATTCGTGCCCCATTGATGCCTGAAGACACACCCCAAAAAAAGCAGGACGCCCTAGACACATGTCCACATAGACTTAGCAGGTAAACCAGACACCTTGACACTGCTGTGTAAATGCAGCATCAGGGTCCTTTTGTGTCAAAACAAACATGGCAGCTCACAAAACGAAGAAAATAGAGAGGCTGGAGAAGCATCACAGACAGATTGGTTTGTTGTCTATGGTCTGGTCCCAGAGCCTCCTGCATTCAAACAGAATTTGGAGGGACTGGCTCCAGGCCAGACTAAACAGGAGCCTGAGTGTGTCTTTAATCAGGTTCCAGCTCATAATTACAGTATAATCAGAGACATATTCACCATCATCGAGCAGACTGCTGTAGTCGTTGGCGCTCAGAGACTGCCTCTTCTCCAGACTGGACTTGGTTTCTCCGACCCCGATGCGGTCCCACCTCTCCATGGGGCTCTCCTCTGCGCCTCCTCCCTCCAGCTGCAGAGAGGCCATGCTCTCAGAGCGCTCACTGTACTCAGAGTCTGAGCCACTGTCTCCCCACTCGTCTGCGTTCTCCATCTGTCGTATTTCCTCGCGGTCCTCTCCTCTCAGACCCAAACTGCTCCTGCGACGCTGAATCGCCTGGAGCTTCTCGCGTTGCTTCTCTTCGAATTGCTGCATCATGATTCTGGCCTCTTCCTCTGTGATTTTACCCTCCTCTGCTCCATCGGGGGGGACACGGCCATATCCGTCATCCCCAGATTCGATTTCAGGCAGCGGTTCCAGAGTGGTCCAACACGGCATCCTGGACCTCGGAGACAAAACATTCCCATAATTCCCTGGTGGGTTGTTGGTGGTCGGCGGGTCACGCCCGAGTGGACCTAAGTTACGGGGTCGGATTTGGTTGCGGTTTTCATCATCCTTGTTGCCGGGGGAGGTGGTGGTGGTTGACAGGAAGTTGGAGTTGCCGTCCTGGTCCTGGTACTTCCTGTTTCGAAGGGAGGAAGAGGAAGTGGAGGAGGAGTAGGCGGAGTCTACAGCAGCGGGGTCCTGATGTTGCAGCATCACTGACCTTGACTGAGCTTCACTGCAAAAAAAAAAACAGAAACATACTTGAATAAGACAGGACTTTTATGGATTTTAAAGCACAGTTTACAGAACTAGTTCATTTTAAACGTTTTTCAGTGGTCCAGAGTTATTCTTCACTTACAGAGCATGCAGGAGTTTATAAGTGCCTTTCAAAATATAATAAAATAAAATAAAAAATGGAGTAAACTGGAAGCGCTGCATAGAGGAAGACCTTGACACCAATATGGACAAAAGAGAGTAGCTGTGGAAATTGGAACATGGCTCCTCGCCCCAAACCCAAACAACCCCAGTCTTTTCTACTGGCCTCCCTCAGCAGCTCGGCCTCAGCCAAGGCCGGCTGGAATCAACTCCCCCGGACATTACAGCAGGGAGACACTCTCACATTCTTTTCCCCAACTTGAATTGACATTTGCTGATGTTGTCTCTGACTGGGGCCTGATCAAGTTTGTCTCCATGGCTGCAGGGCGGGAGTAGAGCATTCGCCCACTAATCTGAAGGTTGGTGGTTTGAATCCCTCTCTTGACATAAACATCACAGGTTGAGCGGTCAGATCCACTGACCCACAGGTTGGCTGGTGTGATTCCAGCTCCCACAGATGAATGCTGTTGTTGTGTCCTTGGGCAAGACACTTAATCCACCTTGCCCACAGTGTCTGCGTACACTGGTGTGTGAATGGGTGAGTGGTTCCTTGTTGTAAAGCTCTTTGAGTGCCTTGATGGTGAATAAGCGCTATAGAAAAATGTGACCATTTAAAATTTTGCCAGGCTGGCGTCACCTAGTGCCTCCGCTCACTTTCATTTCTCTCCAGCAACTAGGTGAGGAATACAGAATACACTAAACGGTCTGCAAAAACCCCGGATGTGCGAGACCGGGCACCAGCCAATCAGCGAAGAGTGATATATTCATCAGTGTTCTTGTTCTTCTTACGGGATTTGGGAAAAGCTTAATATACCAGTTAGCCCTGTTAGTGGAGAATTACATATGTCACGACCAAATAGCAGCGATTGGTTAAATGATAGAAAGTACCTGCCTACCACTGAGTGAATGAATCCTAATGCTGTGAGGTCAGACGGTTTCTATGAAGTGAAACCGGCTGATGAATCAGGCTAGCTAAGACTGGGACCAGGTCATAGACTGTATATAAATGGACATAGCTAACGTTCTAGCCGCCGTGTTCCAAATATGAATTTCCCATGCGGCTCTTCCGACTCCTTCTGACTCTCACTACCATTGACTTACATTGGAATATTGTGGCTCCTCTCTTTGTAACTGCTGCAGTGAGCCTTGGCATTTTGATCTTAAAATGTTCGTATTAACTAACTAACTCACTCTAGATGCTCCTGTTTATTTTTTTGTTGTTATTTTGTCCTTCAAAAAATCCTATTCTTAATACAGAGACTGGCTTCAAATTCGCTCCTGTAACCACTAACATCATGAGCTTCATTTGAGCGGCACTGAACTCTACGGGTGATGTCACACTCGCTTAGTCCATTTCTTTATACAGTCTATGGGCCAGACGGAGTGAGTCTCCAGGCCCCTCCCATATCTCACACCCTCGCTGTTGTTTTGTGGTTTTGTATTGTCTATAACCACTCCCTTCCCTAATACAACATACCTGATGTTGTATTGTGTTTGATCATGTGCAGAGGTGTTGTTTTTTTTGTCCTGGTCCCACACAGTGATTCACTCATAATAGGAGCATTGTGTGGGGGTTGCTTTTTTTCTCCTCCTCCTCCTCCTCATGTTTTGCTTTATTGTTTTTCTTCAAGGTGCTCCTGAAATAATGGTTGTTGTACCTGAATTTCAATCTAAAGCTAATGACTAGCATGCTAATGTGCACTTCCTGGTTTCAGAGGCTTTATAATCAGATGCAGATAGAAACAGTGTTATACAATATATCTGTGCTTTTTTCATGCAAATACATGAAAAACAGAACAAAACAAAACAAAAACGATAACTTTATCTTTAATTATAATTTATTCATGTTGCCTGGTAGTGTCATCTGTTTTTATCCATGGCGATAAGAAGTTTAATGCCACTACGAAACATTCTAGGCAAGAATCATTTTGTGACTTGAATGTGAAGCATGTGTGCAGGCTGTATATCTATAGGTCTACAGAGTTTGCTTTTTCCATCATTCTGTGGTTTGTAAAGAAGAATATTAACTATTAAATCATTTCAGCTTTTGGTAATTGTTATTTGCTAATTAAGACCATTAACATGTGCAATTTTGATTTCATTGCGAAATATCTTGAAGCACCAACTGTAACATATATCACAAAATCTTTAGAACATTTATCTATGATCAATGTTTCTATTTTTTCCTTTTCACACAGATCACAAGACCACACAGAGCGAGACTAAAGAGAAGTGTTTGAGTCAGTCACATGAAAACTCTGTTCAAAAACAAACTCTCAGAGAATCAGGCTTATTTTTGTCCTCAATGGACAATCGAAAATCAATACATCAAGACACTATAACTAGATGAGAACATTTCTAAACATGTAGGTTGAAGTTACACTGATACAATATAGATCAGAGTCAAAGAACTGTGTAGTATTTATATTTAATAAAATTGGTGCACTATTTAACTTTTCTGGTGGAAGGTGGAATGTTGAAATGTTCCTTATCTCCATGAAGACAAACAGGTAACTAGGCCAGGTTAGTTTTTGTTTTGTTTTTGATGTTTTCCCACTCACTGAAAACTTACAGGTCAGCTCTGTGGAGAGGAGGGTTGTAGAAATTCTTGGTAAACTTAAGACATCTCTATAATCAAACAATCAAAAGTAAGAAACAATATATTCATATAAAGACAGATTAAACTTCTTTCTGCTGTTTTTCCATATCCACATAATCTAAATCTCCTCATCTCTTGTAAGTGAATAAAATGATTAAAAAAAAGTCCAATGCTGTACTGCGGAACATTTCAGGCAAAGCACTAACATCTTCATGGACTCACCACCAGAAAAGAAAAGGCCCTAAAGTGCAAAAAATTAATTCTATCCATGTTCAGATGTCTTGAATTAAGAAAGTTTGATCAGGATTTAAGTAAATTTCACTTGCAAATAAAATATTCTGCCATTGGAACAAGACATTTTGTACTTAAAATATGAAAAACAACAACTTTTTTGCATGTAATATAAGAAACAAATGTGATGTTGCTTGAAATAAGAAAAAACGCTTGTTCCTATGGTAGATCATTTTGCTCATCAAATTGAATCTACTCAAATAAAGTATTTTATCTTGCCTAGATATTTCTTTTTGTAGTGTAGGTATATTAGTTTAAAAGTGCATATGTCAAAATATAGATAAGAAAACAATTAACTTTTAACACAAAATCACATCATGTTTTAGCCAGATTTTACGTTCTTAAAAATGTGAAAAACAGAACTAGTTCATTATAAAAAGTTTGCAGTGATTCAAAGTTCTTCCTCACTTCCGTTATGCATTCAGAGTGTCCTAATTATTCACTTTCATTCAGTTTATAAGTGCTTTTCACAACTAGTGAGCAGTTGAGACTGTCAGGTATGTATGAAAACAAACTGTTGGTCTGAAAAAATAATTAATTTAGACGACCAGTTGGACCTAATTGGACAGACTTTTGCCATGATGGGAAACCTATACACAAACTAGCAACACACACTTCCTGATTCTCAGATTAGATATCGACTAGGGATGTAACAACAACCGAAATTTTGTGATAGCCTATCGTTAAAAGTCTCACAATAATATCGTTGGCCATCACAATATATTGAATTACAAGTCTCATAAGTTATAATGCAGTAATATATGTACAAAAATAAAAGAAACTACACAGACCAGGAGTGTTAAACTCAAATTGACAGAGGCCCAAAATTAAAAACTGGGACTAAGTCGTGGGCTAAACTAAATATTTATTGAAAAATTTCAACAACATCTGCATGTTTCTCTTCTTTCGAAATATGTAATGTTAAATCTTTTCTGATTAAAATAAATCTTTAATAATAGTTTTACTTAAACATTGAATCCAGAACAAGTATAATGTAAAAAAATTACAAAATTTTAAATAAATAATGTCTCTATAGCCTACTTGTGGCCGGTTTGCCAGCTCTAATACAAATTTGATATGATCTAGCAAGCCAAATATAATTATATTGCGTGCCAAATTTGGCCTGTGGGCCTGAGTTTGACATTTCTGACACAGACCATGATCCTTTACTCCGTTTCAGTGCCAATTACATGAAGAAATAGTTCTTACAAGCACTTTTAAATCTTAATTCTTTGGATTATGACAGAATCTTACAAGTCTTATATTTTAAAAGGAAAAGGTAACATTCACAATTTTGTTAGTCTCCACAATATCGCAATAAATATCGAACTGTGAGATGTATCTCGTGAAAATATTGTACCAAGAGATTTGAATATCGTTACATCCCTAATACCGACAGTACACAGTGGACTTATTTTGACCTCAAGAGCTCATCAGTACATGTCAACAAATCAGATGGGCTACTGGACTAGTTTAGGCTTTAATGGATTCAGTAATTGCAAAATCGACAAATTTTTTCTCAAAACAGAACGACATTTAAAAGAATATCAATTAGTATCACATATAAATCAACTAGAACAATACACAAAGAAGCACTATAAAATAGATCTAAAGTTGACCAGGGCCAAAGCAGAGACAAAATCGCCTCTTTTGATTTCCCATCATGCATCTCTCCATCCGAATCACCCTCACACATCTGCACGTCTTTTCTAAATGTTAATGTTTTTAATCCTGGCTCGAGGCTGCCGTCAATCAAAGCCCCTCCTCTGACGCGCGCCCCCGAGACATGCCCCTGGCGCGTTCACGTGGTGCTGAAGGACAGCGACAGTGGCTCGGGGGCGCGCACGGATCAGCTTTACAGATGCTGCGGTCACGAGGAAGACGATACAGACAATTTACCTCCAAACACACAATATGAAATAGAATTACGAATTCAAAATGGCGCATGATTGCACCAAAACGCAAACGTAAATGATGAAAAGTGGCAAAAATACGGTACCGAATCAGCATGGCTCCTTCAGGGATGCTTGAAATGTTATTGAAACGACGCCTGGCTTGAGAGAAAACGTGAAAAAGTCGTTCAATCTTGCGCACTGGCTGCATATTAAAGCTGGAAAAATAACCAAACACTTTTACGCATTGGCGAACGAACTCGACACGCGCGTAAACTGAAAATCTGCTCTGAATCCTGCTTATCCGTGTCCGTGTGGTGTTATGTAAGGCTCACCCCATCTTTACGCCTTCTCCTCTCGCTCGCCTCGCTAAAAGAGCCCAAATTTTGGTGTTGGCTCGTGCTTGTTTGTCGGGTTGCATAAGGAAGCCTCATGTGAACGCGGTATTATTAGCCCGTTGCCCTTCTTACCTTTAAACGGCGATGATGGCGGGGTCTCGTGTTGTTTTCGTCTCCTCCTTTCGCGCCGCTGTCCCTCCTCTGAAGCGAATCGGATGCCCCCCCCCCCCTCATCTCCTCACCCCCTCCCATCCGCTCTGACTCGGATGCCCTCCCATCCGCCCGCACTCCCAGCGCTTATGGGAAAGAGACGCTGCGTAATGCGCTTCCTGGACTCGGGTGAAGAATGCGATGAATTCAGTGATAACGGGAGCAGAGTAGGCTATTATAGGCTATTATAGGCCTAAAGCTACAGTTTGCTATTCAAAGGTTTAGGTAACTGTTCACAAATGTTGAACTTGATCATTTCTATTCATGACTAGAACCAATCTAAAAATCTGCATTTAAACTAGATACATTTTTGTTGCACCCCATGAAATGTCCTATATTATGAAATAAGAAAAAAACACTTGTTCCTTTGGTAGATCATTTTGCTCATCAAATTAAATCTACTCAAATAAAGTTAAATGTTCTTAATTCTAGTCATTTTAACTTGCGTAGGTATTGCTTTTGCAGTTGCTTTTTAGTTTAAAAGTGCATATGTCAAAATACATACAAGAAAGCAATTCACTTTAAATGCAAAATCACTAAAATGTTTTAACCAGATTTTTACATTCTTGAAAATGTAAAAAACAGAACTCATTTGTTTATTTGAAACAGTTTGCATTGGTCCAAAGTTCTTCCTCATTTACGTTCTGCATTCAGAGTGTCCTAATTATTCAGTTTCATTCATCTTAAAAGTGCTTTTCACAACTAGTGAGCAGTTGAAACTGTCAGGTATGTATGAAAACAAACTGTGGACTGGGAAAAATAAAAATAAAAAAATCATTTAGAAGTTGGACCTAATTGGACAGACTTTTGCCATGATGGGGAACCTATACAGAAACTAGCAACACACACTTCCTGATTCTCGGATTAGATAACGACTAGGGATGTAACAATGACTGAAATTTCATGATATTGTACTGTCGAATGTCTCACAATAATATCATGAACCATCACAATAAATCAAATTACAAGTCTTTTAAGTTATAATGCAGTAATATAAGTACAAAAACAAAGGCAACTACACAGACCAGGAGTGTCAAACTCAAATTCACAGAGGCCAAAATTAAAAACTGGGACTAAGTTGTGGGCTAAACTAAATATTTATTGAAAAATGTCAACAACATCTGCCTGTTTCTCTTGTTTCGAGATATGAAATGTTAAAACCTTTTCTTATTAAAATAAATGTTTAATAATAGTTTTGCTTAAACACTAAATCCAGATCAAGCAAAATATAAAAAAATAATAACATTTTAAATAAATAATGTCTCTGTTTATGTAACTATTAATTTCAACTATTGTGTAAGCAAAAAGAGAAGACAGATTCAGTATAACTTAAAGACCATATCACTCTCTTTTCTGATCTATTTATGTGATAGAAATATACATTGTGGAAAAAAAAATCTCTCAATGTGTCTTTGTGTAAATGAATGTGATTTCCACCTGAGACCAGAGCAGAACATGCGGAAAGGCTCAGCAGACACAGCTCTCCCCAAACCCCACAGGAAACTCTGGGTTTAGCTGTCCTCAAATCTAAGTTAATTTTGTTGTTACATTATAGTGGACTTAGTCAGACTTGACTTGATAAAATGGCTAAGACTTGGGACTTGACTCAGACTTGAGACCTCTGACTTGAGAAGACTAGATGTGTCTCCTAAAAATATATATTTTTTGATAATACTTTTCTCTTTACAGTTGATAAATGCTGTGCTGAATTTTACAGGAACAAACTGGAACATGCCCCTCCACTTCTCTGTTTGTTACTTCGGGTGGAACTGAAGTACTGTGATGTGGTATCCTCAAATGTACTACAGTAATATACAGTACAACACAGTAATATACAGTACAATAGAGTAATATACAGTACAACACAGTAATATACAGTACAACACAGTAATATACAGAACAACACAGTAATATACAGTACAACACAGTAATATACAGTACAAAACAGTGAAACAGAGGGAACTACAGAGAACATGATCCTTCCATTTTAGCGCCAACTACCTAACAAAATAACTGATATTAAGCACTTTTAAATCATGATTTTTTTCATCATGTGGCCATACTGGTTTGTCAAATCCTGATCCCATCAGATCTCAGAAGCTGAACAGGTCTGGGCCTGGTTAGTACTTGGATGGGAGACACTGAGAAAATCAGGAGCCACAGGGCGGTGCCAATCATAAAAACTGTTGTTGTGTCCTTAGGCAAGGCACTTCACCCTCACTGCCTAACATGAAAGTGATGTGTGCATGAGTGACGGTGGTGCAGATTGGCAGCCTCGCGTCCGTCAGTCTGTCCCAGGGCAGTTGTGGCTACAGAAGTAGCTTACCACCACCAGGTATGGAGGGAAAGAATAATGGTTTGAAAAGTGTCTTTGAGTGTCCAAAAAAGTGCTATATAAAACTGATGCATTATTCATTATTTATGATTAAATCTTGTCGGGTCATTTAAAAAGGAAAGAAAATTGCATTTCTACAACTCTTAAATAAATATTCATATATAAATATACCATGACTTTTTTAGTACAGTTTAGGTTAAAGTTCATATAAATTGCAAAAATCAAAGCTCTGTTTGTTACTTTAGTTTAAAGACTTGTAATGACTTGAAGCTCAAAACAGACAACTTGGACTTGCCTCTGTTTGACCTGGGACTTGACTCAGACTTGAGGTCAAAGACTTGAGACTTACTTGAGACTTGCAAAACAACGACTTGGTCCCACCTCTGATAAATACTCAGATGACCTGAGGGGAGATGGAGGGGGGGTGGAGAGAGGAGATTCAGGAGAGGCTGTTGGTCTGTGGTCTCAGGCTTAGGCTCTGTCCATATTTGCTGGAACAAGAAGAATAAACCTTTGTGTGAATTCCAAAAACTCACCGGGCTTCACAAATGATTTGTTATTTATCATCAAGAGATGCATCATTTTTCCACAACACTGTGTTCTAATGCAGTTTCCTCATCACAAACAGACCCGGAGTTCTTCTCTCAAATAGAAAAACACTCTGTCCACCTTGTGATGTTATGTGGTAATACAGGAAGTGCTCCACTGTGTTTTTAAACTCCACACACCTTCACTACAATCATTTGGATCATTTCAGCTCCGGAATTGTCAATCTCTACTGAATTAAAGGTAAAAGGCATTGTTTACTTATGTTAACAGAGCATTTTGAGCTTTGAAGATGCAGACAGACTAATAATAATAATAAAAAAAAATACTCAAATGTGTGAATAAAACAAAACCGATGGTGAAAGGTAATGAAGTGAAGTAAGTGAAAGTCCAATTGAGTACATTTTCAGCTTGTTTGTGATGAGGAAACAACTTCATAACATAGGTCTGAAAACTGTGTAATAGTCATTTTGTGTAATATAGAACCCTTAAAACATAAACCATTTGATGTAATCATTTAAAATGAAAGAAGGGGGGTAAAGTGCCACAGTAACACAGGGAGAACATGCAAACTCCACTTTATTACTTTCAGAACAGAACGCTTTTTATCTTATGAACTAAAGTACAATAATATGCATGAATGTTCTGATCATATATTTACTCATATGACTGTGTTTATGAACCATGTAATAGGCTGAGATCACATGACAGCACAACATTGGAGCCCCAATTGATACTTTGCAGCAACATCACACTGGGGGTATCCTACATGCATCTCTATGGTGGGATATTCAGATGTTACCATGGTGACACAATGCACACAACTAATATTAAGAGAAAAAAATATCATCTCCCTGTAGTTCCGAACTAAATCAGGTTTTCTTTCTGGTCAGATTGTGTTAAAATAAACTTCAGATTCAAGTCTAACAGGCCTCAGACAGTGCAGTGCCTACAGTTAGCGTCACACCTCCAGGGAAGGTTGATGATGTCAGCTGCAAAGTATCAATCTAACCAGAGCTGGAAACAGTCAGAGTTCAAGAATTGGAGTTTTATTTGTGTAACTGTCAGATGCAGATTTGTTAACCTGGTTTATGGTTCATATCTCTGTCATTACTGGGCCTATCCACATGAAACAAAAACTGGTCTATTTGATCTGTTTCCATGTAGACAAAGTTACAGGCCAGATCTATGGAGAGGCAACCCTACTCACGGTAAGGGTTCTCAACAGAAAACATGTCGTGTGGGCCCACCAAGATGCCAAGATGATTTGTACCCACATGCAGGAATTTGGTGCTACACCCCTGCCTGTAATTGAAAAAATGAATAAATAACTAATGCCATACTGTGGGATATTCTAAGCCAGGGGTCTTCAACCTTTTTCCTTTGGTGAACTCCTTTACAAAACAAAAATGTTGGAGAGCTACTCATTTTAGTGGCTGCAAGAAATTGGAGACGATTATAAGAAAAAGGAGGAGCCTTTGGGTGCAGTTAGACGCCTATAAAACATAAACCATTGTCCATTTATTAGTGCACAAAGTTGGGCTTCAAAATTATATATTTAAAATAGTAATAGGCATGTAATTAACCATATTTTTGTTGTTCAGCACAATGACATCATTCCGATATCCCTTGGGGAGCTTCTTGAAAGGAGGTGGAGAGCCACTGGTAGCTCCTGAGCTACAGGTTGGAGACTCCTGTTCTAAGCAGAGCAATGACTATATTGTTGTTCGTTGAAAAGACTTCAAGTGGTCCATGTGTAATAATTGTGAACTAAATTTTAAAATAACTATGCTTAAGTTCAGGAAACAATTTTCTCTTTTAATTACACTGAGCTTTGCAATAAAATCTCCACAATGTAAATTCACAAATGTTGAACCTGATCATTTCTATTCATGACCAGAGAAGCAAGAACCAAGAACACAACACAGTTACAACACAAATCTGCATTTGAACAAGATCAATTTTTGTTGCACCCCATTAAAGACCCTAATTATGCAAAACTGACTTGGAGTTGTGTTTTGTTTCAATCACACATGTTTGAATAACTCTTTATTATTAGTCTGTCTACATCTCCAAAGCTCAGAATGATCTGTTCCACCTTGAGATGTTATGAAGAGGTGGTTTTCAGCTGCTGCCTTTTGCCTTTTGTTCAGTAGAGAAAGGTTGACATTTCCAGGGCTGAAATGATCCAAATGATTCTAATGAAGGTGTGTGGAATTAAAAAACACAACAGAGCACTTCCTGTATTCCCACATGACATCACAAGGTGGGACAGAGTGTTACACAAGTCCAGGAAACTACATTAGAACATAGATCAGAAACTGTGATGTCGTCTGTAGTGAAGGTGTGTGGATTAAAAACACATGAATGGACTTAAACGCTCTCCTCTTTGGTCGAGTGAACAGAACAAACACACTCTGAATGCAAGGACACGTATCTCCTGGAGCAGCTGCCAAAATGCATCGTGGGAAATGCAGGAAATGAGCACATGAGTCCAGAATAGACCAGAGAGATTAGAGACGTCACATGACCTTGTGTGCTGCTATTGTTATACAGTAGTACAATGTATGTGTTTATGTAACCTTTATTTAAGCACGAAACACAGACTGACAGAGTCACTCTGTTCAACTCCACCTCCAGACAACTGGGTGTGTGAGAGTTTACTACACACACACACCCAACTCTCTCTCTCTCTCTCTCTCATTCTCTCTCTCTCTCATTATCTCTGTCTGTCTCTCTCTCTCTATCTCTCTCTCTCTCTATTCTCTCTCTGTCTTTCTCTTCTCTCTCATTTCTCTATCTCTCTCTCTCTCTCTCTCCTCTTTCTCTTTCTCTTTCTCCATCTGTTTCGCTGTCTCTCTTATTCACTCTGTCTTTCTCTTTCTCTGTCTGTTTTTCTGTCTCTCTGTCTGTCTCTCTTATTCTTTCTGTCTTTCTATTTCTCTTTCTTTCCTTTCCTCTCTCTGTCTCTCTCTCTCTCTTATTCTTTCTCTCTCTCATTCTCTCTGTCTTTTTCTTTCTCTGTCTCTCTCTCTCTCTCTCTCAGTTTCTGTCTTATTCTCTCTCTCTCTGTCTCTGTCTTTCTCTTTCACTGTCTCTCTCCACTCATTCTATTCCCCATTTTACCTCCTCTGTTTTTCTCTCTTCTCTCTCTCTTATTCTCTCTCCCCCTTTCTTTCTCTGTCTCTCTCTCCTTCTCTCTTACTCTTTCCCCTACCCTCTCTCTCCACTGATCCAGTCCCTCTCATTTTCACTCTCTCTCTCTTCCTTTTACCCCTACTCCCTCTCTCTAATTCTCTCTCTCTTTCTCTCTCCCTCTCTCTCATTCTCTCTCATTCTCTCTGTCTTTCTCTTTCTCTGTCTGTCTGTCTGTCTCTCTCTCTCTCCCTTTTTCACTCTGTCTTTCTCTTTCTCTGTCTGTTTTTCTGTCTCTCTGTCTGTCTCTCTTATTCTTTCTGTCTTTCTATTTCTCTTTCTTTCCTTTCCTCACTCTTCTCTCTCTCTCTCTCTCTCTCTCTTATTCTTTCTCTCTCTTATTCTCTCTGTTTTTCTCTGTCTGTCTGTCTGTCTCTTTCTCTCTTACTCACTCTGTCTTTCTCTTTCTCTGTGTCTCTCTCTCTGTCTCTCTCTTATTATTTCTCTCTCTGTCTCTGTCTCTCTCTCTCTCTCTTATTCTCTGTCTTTCTCTCTCTCCCCCTCACTTTCACTCACTTTTTCAGAGGAGATAATTTACCTCCCTCCCTCTCTCCTCTTTTTCATTCTCCCTCCCTCTCTCCCTCTCACTTTCACTCTCTCTCTCGCTCTCTTCCTTTTACCCCCTCTCTTTCATTCTCTCCTCTCCCTCTCCTCTCCCTCTCCCTCTCCTCTCCTCTCCTCTCTCTCCTCTCTCTCTCCTCTCCTCTCCTGTCTCGTTGTTTTGGATCTTGTGAGTTGGTCGTTGGTTTAGTCGGTGACGGGGCCTGCAGGGCTCTGCTTGTCTTTTGATGTATTTTTCAGTAGTTTGGGTGTCGCTGGAGAGAGGGAGGAGAGAGATGATGGGGAAAGAGAAGAGGAGAGAGAGAGAGAGAGAGAGGAGAGAGAGAGAGAGAGAGAGAGAGAGAGAGAGAGAGAGAGAGAGAGAGAGAGGAGGGCGAGGAGAGGAGGGGGAGAGAGGCAGGAAGCAGCCTCAGGGAGGTGCACTCGGGTGGGGATGACGTTGGAGCAGAGTGGGGGGTGAGACTGGAGCTGTGGAGGTCATGCAGGAGAGTGAGTCAGATCTTGGTTTAGTCCTGGTTTAGTCCCGGTTTAGTTCAGGGTTCAGACCTGGTTTAGTCTTTCTTAGGTGGTTTTCCTATCCTTGTCCATCTTAAATCCCATCTTTCGTCCTGTGGTTCTAATCAAGTGCAAATTTAGACCTGGCTCAGTCTTTGTTCACAGGTTTTGATTCTTTATTTAGTCCTGGTTTAGTCCTGGATCAGTCTTTGTTTACATTGTGAGTCCTGATTTAGTCCTGGTTTAGTTCTGGATCAGTCTTTGGTCACAGGTTTTGAGTCTTGATTTAGTCTTGGATCACTCTTTGTTCAAATGTAGTGAGTCCTGGTTTAGTCCTGGTTTAGTCCTAGATCACTCTTTGTTCACAGGTTTTGAATCTTTATTTAGTCCTGGTTTAGTCCTGGATCAGTCTTTGGTCACAGGTTTTGAGTCTTGGTTTAGTCTTGGATCAGTCTTTGTTCACATGGTTTGAGTCCTGATTTAGTGTCAGTTTATAGACAGTCTAAGTTGAATGTCGTCCTTTAGTCTCAGCGCTTAAGAGTAGTTTGAGTCCTGGTTTAGTCCTGGTTTAGTTCTGGTTTAGTCCTGGTTTAGACTCTTGGAGGTTTTTTTCTGGGTGCTGGAGAGAGGAGGGGGAGACAGGCAGGAAGCAGCCCCAGGGACGTGCACTCTGATGGGGGTGATGTTGGAGCAGAGTGGGGGGTGAGGCTGGAGACATGGAGGTCTGTTTGGAGGAGGAGGCTCTGGGGCATGTGTCAGAGAGAGAGAGAGAAAAAAAAAAAAAAAAAACTAGAGAGAGAGAGACAGACGAGTGGGTAATATATTCAGAAAAAACATCATATATATTGTGTAGGAAAATAATGTAAAGCGAGAAAATATTTGGGCTTCTGAGTTCAACTTGATCCAACAATTTTGGACACTTGTCTTTCGGGGGGCACTGTCAGACCTGAAGTGGATTAGAACTGGTACAGACCTGGTTTAGTCCTGGTTAAGTCCTGGTTCTATTCTGGTTTTATCCTGGTTTTGTTGTGGTTCAAATCGTCCTGGATTAGTCCTAGATTAGTCTTTGTTTCATCCTGGTTTAGTCCTGGTGTAGTCCTGGTTCAGTCTTGGTTTAGTCCAGATTTAGTCCTGGTTTTATTCTGGTTTTGTTTTGTTTTAGACCATGCTAGATTAGTCCTGATTTAATTCTGGGTTAGTCCTGGTTTAGCCCTGGTTTAGTTCTGGTTGAGTTCTGGTTTAGTTCTGCTTAAGTCTGGGTTTAGTCCTGGTTTAGTCCTGATTTAGTCCTGGTTTTGTTTTGTTTCAGGCCATGCTAGATTAGTCCTGGTTTAGTTCTGGTTAAGTCTGGATTTAGTCCTGGTTTAGTCTTGGATTTGTCTTGCTTTAATCCTGATTTAGTTTAGTTGTAATTTAGTCCTGATTTAGTCCTGGTTTCATCCTGGTTTTGCTTTGTTTCAGACCATCCTGAATTAGTGCTGCATTAGTTCTGGTTTGGTCCTGGTTTAGTTCTGGTTATGTCTGGGTTTAGTCCTGGTTTAGTCCTGGTTTAGTCCTGATTTTATCCTGGGTTTGTTTTGTTTCAGACCATGCTAGATTAGTCCTGGTTTAGTTCTGGTTAAGTCTGGATTTAGTCCTGTTTTAGTCCTATTTTAGTCCTGGTTTAGTCGTGGTTTACTCTTGGTTTAATCCTGATTTAATTTAGTTGTAATTTAGTCCTGGGTTATTTCTGGGTTAGTCTTGGTTTAATCCTGATTTAGTCCTGGTTTTATCCTGGTTTTGTTTTTGTTTCAGACCATCATGGATTAGTGCTGGATTAGTTCTGGTTTGGTCCTGGTTTAGTTCTGGTTAAGTTTGGTTTAGTCCTGGTTTAGTCCTGATTTAGTCTTGACTTAGTCTTGGTTAAATCTGGTTTTAGTCCTAGTTTATTCCTGGTGGAGTTTAGTCCTGGTTTAGCCTGATTAAATATAGATTTAGTCCTGAGTTTATCATGGTTTTGCTGTTGTTCAGGCCATCCTGGATTAGTCCTGGTTTACTTTGTTTAGTCCTGGTTTAGTTCTGATTTAGTCCCGATTTAGTTCTGGTTTAATCCTGGTTCAGTGGGGACTAGAGTGAACTGGGTCAGATCCTTCAGGCACATTTTCATTAAAACAAAGATTCTTTCTGTAAACAGTACATCACACTCTGCTCTAAATCACCCTGAGACACAAAAACATCACATAACACACACACACACAACACACACACACACACACAAACACACACACAGACTGATTATTTTTTATTTATTTATTATATTGTCTTATCTTATCATAAAATGTCTTTCTATATAAATTCCCTGAACATAATGAATTATTGCAATTTAACACAAAAATGCAAACATCTCCACTGAAAAGACCCACACTGATCACTGACCATTTGAAATGACTGAATCACTATCTTGATTAAAATATGATTAATTGCACACTTCTATAACAAGTCCTTTGGTTTCCTTCGTCTTTGAGGAGTCTCTGTGCTTTCTGATGGCTCAGGTTGACATGAAGATTTTCAGGGAAAAAGATGCCAGATTTCTTTTAAGGGCCTTTTCTTAGACTCTTCCCGATTCACTTGACACGGCCCTATTTTAATGTCTTTAGTGGAAGTAGCGCCCCCTGCTGGTCCCAAAGAGAAATAAGGGAAGAGTTTCTCAGTGAAAGTGTCTGTGTGGGAGCAGATTAGAGTCATGTCTTTGGCGTCAAAGAAGGAAACTCGCCCTGCTTCATAGTCCAGCTCCACTTGGATTCTGTCAGGACGTGTGCTCAGAGTCACTGTGTTATCAGTAATATCCATGTATTTGTTTTTAAGCTGCTTTAAACACCAATATCCATTCTCTGGTAAAGCAATACATTTAGATCTTCTGTCCATAGACTCTTTGACCAAACCTATGACCCACTCAGGGTGATCTCCCACCTCCACGTCCCAGCGGTGTGTCCCAGAGCTGAAGCCCTCTGAGCCCAGGACACTGGTGTAAGACAAGAACCTTTCTGGATTCAGAGGAACCTTCTGCTTAATGTCCTCTCTTCTGACACTGGTCAGATCCTCAGATAGATGCAGATATCTGTGGGCAGTGTTTGGGTCCAAAACCACAGGGCTGTACGTGATATCTGCCCCCATGTTCTGCCACACTCTGTAGTCCAGGTTCCCCAGCGCTCTGGCCTCGTCGATCAGGAGGCCTGCAGGCTCTGGTGCTGGAGGGTCACGTGTTGGGGGGACCAGAGGGGCCCTGATCTCTGTGAGAGGAGCAGAGCTCTGACTCTGCAGCTGCTGCTCTGCACACTTAATACGGTGAGACAGAGAGGACAGTTTAGCATCTATGTCCTTTTGCTGTAATTGAATACTCAGAGTCTTTTCCTCCAGCTCCTTTCGAAGTGTGCTCACACACAGCTTCTCCTCCTGAGCCACGATTCGGTGAAGCCAGTCGAACCGTTTCGAAATAAGTTCTTCACAGCTCACAGCTCGCTTCTCATTGTGTTGTAACATGTCTTCATACTGTTTCCTTAAATTCTCAGCGTGATATTTCTCTTGTACAAGTCTCTGCAGAGGCGCGTGTCTGTGAGGATTCTCTGGGTTTGTCTGACGCAGATGAAATGTCCTCCTCAGGGCGTTTTTTCCGTACTTCTTCCTCTCTCGTCTGCTCCTCTGCAGTCTCCTCTTCTGCTGTCTGCTCCTTTTCTGGCTGCGCCCGTCCCAGCTGCTCCTCTGAACTCTCCGTTTCTCTCTGAGTAAATTCTCTCTTCTTCTTCAAAGCAAATTCTGGAGACAGCTCTTTAGACCACCTCCGTCTGCAGTTGGGACAGTCCCCGGTCCTGCTCGGGTCCCACAGCTCCCGCAGACAGCTGGAACAGAAGCGGTGCTCACAGCCCAACGTCACTGCATCCTGTAACTCCTCACAACACAAAAAGCAGTGAGAGGAGTCTAACGAAACTTCAGCCATGATTCAACTAAAAACAAAATCAAATCAAGTAGGCTTGTTTCATTAACCTATAGGCCTTTTTGAACAGATTCTCGTTCGGTCCAATGTCATGAAACGTCGAAAATGAAAGTGCAGTCAGACCTGTATTTCCGCTCACCTGTGTAGGAACTAATTCACTGTAGCGCATTTATAGACAGGTTATGAATGCACAGTTCATGACACAGAAACACGCCTACAAAATCTGTAATACAAGACAAAACCAACATGCAGCTAGTCGACAAAGAAAAGACCACTCAAGTCTAAAACTAAAATATTTGTTGCACAGTTACAAACTATTTATTGAAAAAAACATCAAATTATTTACAAAGTTACAAACTAGACAAATAGGTGATGCCACAAGGTGAAGATTAGATCAGATCTGTGCTGAGGCGAGCATGCTCACAGTAAGAATAGGTTGTATTTTTCAGTCAGGTTTTGAGCAATAAAACATGAGTAATCAAATGAATGCAAATTAGTTACATTTGATGGCACACTGTGGATAGTGTTGGGAAGGTGACTTTTAAAATGTATTCCCCTACAGATTACAGATTACACACCCCAAAATGTAGTTTGTAACATAATCCATTAAATTACTTAAAGTGAGTAATGTAATCTGAATATTTTGGATTACTTGATTTGCTGTAGAGAAGCAAAGGCTAGTATATCGTAACATAAGATGTTTTATCTGATGAAAGAAAATAAAAAGCCCAGACTTTACTTAAACATATTAAAAATATTATTAATAGAAGAGGAGGAGACACAGTCCACACGGCATGATTTAGTCCTGTTAAATCCTGTTTGAGACCTGGTTCAGACCTGTTTTAGTCCTGGTTTAGTCCTGATTTAGTCCTGGTTCAGACCTGGTTTAGCCCTGGTTTAGTCCTGCTTTACTCCTGGTTTAGTCCTGGTTTAGTCCTGGTTTAGACCTAGTTTAGACCTGGCTTTAGACCTGGTTTTAGACCTGGTTTGGACCTGGGTTTAGACCTGGTTTAGACCTGGTTTAGTTTCCAAGAATGAGTGGAAAAAAGAAAAAAAGAAAAAAAAAAGTGAATAGCCCAAAATGTGAAAACAGGAAAATACCGCCTTGTAATCCATTTATTTTAACAAAGTAACTGTAATCCAAATACCTCTCATTGAAAAAGTAACTGTAACCGAATACAGTTACTCATAATTTGGACTCTGATTACGTAACTCCAGTACAGTACATGTAATCTGTTACTCCTCAACACTGACTGTGTGACCAATATCACACTAATGTTCATGGGCCTGTACAGATACACACATTGTATTGTGGATATAATGATCATGTCATATGGGCTGGACTCCTCATGAACTGCTTCTGTGGTGATGAACTGACTCACCGATGCCTCATGAGGACCAGGTTTGTATGTCTGATGACGCTTGTTTCCTATGAAAGAATATCTAACATGAAAAAACAGATACTGGAGGTTGGAGGGGCACAGAGCGAGCGCTGATTAGACTAACAAACTGCTCCGTCGGAATTAGATCAGGATCTATTCCACAATCCTGGAGGACGACTTTAGCTTTATACCTTTCTAATGACGCTGATCTAATGAGCTGGCGATTTCAAACACTTTTATGTCCTTGTGCTGTTTAAAGTCGCCATGATTATACTGTAATAAACTGAATAACACCATCCGGATCAATCCCAGCCCTGACCTCCAGTATGGCTGCCAAAACATTAAATCACTTGACTGCCACATCCAGTGTTGGGGAGTAACAGATTACATGTACCGGCATTACGTAATCAGAGTACAAATTATGAGTAACTGTATTCAGTTACAGTTACAGTTTCCATGAGTGGTATTTGGATTACAGTTACTTTGTTGAAATAAATGGATTACACGGCGGTATTTTCATGTTTTCACATTTTGGGCTAAACCAGGACTAAAACCAGGACTAAAATCAGGACTAAAACCAGGACTAAAACCAGGACTAAAACCAGGTCTAAACCAGGTCTAAACCAGGTCTAAACCAGGAGTAAACCAGGACTAAAACCAGGTCTAAACCAGGTCTAAACCAGGAGTAAACCAGGAATATGACAATATCAAGTAATCCATGTTGTCACTAGGGCCAGATAAACATGAAGATGTAATACACACACACACACACACACACTCACACACACACACACACACATGACACACACACACACAGACACACACACACACACACACACACACACACACACACACACACAACACACACACACACACACACACACACACACACACACACACACATACTGGTTTATACTACATGGTGGGGACACATGACAGAGTGCTGCCTGGTGGGAACACGTCTTTCTGAGTGGTTTACAGAAAAGGGCCAAACAGATCCACGCTCCGTGTACAGTCCTCATCACAGCCATCACTTGAAAACTTGACTCTGACCCTCGGAAGACTGACCTGACATTTCACTGACCGCCGGGGACCTGTCAGGTACAGGACCCTCATGGGGACCTGTGATGTCATTCATTTGCATATTCAAAACATGACGTCATCGTGTGTTTTAGAGGCGACCGGTGGGGACCAAGGATGTAAAACTCATAATTCAGACGTCTTTTTTGATGTTTGACTTATTTGGGCGACTTATGAGCAGCAAAACACCTGAAAACATTCACATGAATAACTCAGATCAAATATAAAATGTCAAAGGGACCATAAACACCAAAACACAGTCTGGTCAAAGTCGTCTGGACGACTTGGTTTGTGAAATAACTCTTCTGATTAATCTCTGAATAGCCAAATGACAAAAGCATCTGCTGGTTCAAGTCTTTGCAATCTTTTTTATTGCAAACATGAACAGGACATAATTGGCTGATCACATTCCAGGCTCCCAACATGAAAACATGTCAAATGTTTTTCATAAAGTACAGCTAACAAACATAAAATAATACTTGTATATGTTTGAACAAGTACGAGAATTCTCCACATTCTCCATTAAGGCATTTATCAAATAAACACAAGGATTGGTTTGGAACTTCTTAAGTAACTTTTCACTTTTTGTGACTAAAGAAAATCAAAAGTATCACAGTGTCTCCAGTACACTGTGTATTAATCTGAAAACCAAAGTATAAACATAAAGCTCAGAGCAATACAGGTGATTTTGTAAACTCGGTCTAAACACAAGCTCTGAGGAAAGTATAAGAAGATAAAGTGAACAAGTGCAAAGTGTCTGTGTGTTTGACATGTTACAGGAGCTCGCTGAAAGAACTGACAAGAACCAAACATTATCAGTATTAACATATTTGCTCGTTCATGCTCAAATGCTCTGAGATAAAAAGATGGACTGGAGAGAATAAGTGTGAACAGTGTTTGGTACATTTCAGGTCAGTTCTATGCTCCATTTTGGAGAATAGAACTGACCTGAAGTCTGCATGATCTTTTCTCACACTCCCTCCGCTGTGCTATTATTCGATTATAGATGTAACACTTAAGAGATCTCCAGGTTCTATGTTTAAAAACTTCTGGAGCTGACCTGATGCAGTCTTCACATTGTCTTTTTCCTGGTAAAAGGCCAGATGTGATGTGATCCAAGAGCTTGTTTTCAACCAGCTTCACCTCCTCTTCTGTCCGTCTGCTTTTGGGGCATCTGCTTTTTTCAAACAGGCCTGACTCTAAAAAGCTGTGTAGGGTTTAGGGTTTATATGTAGAGGAACTTTACAAATGCATGAAGACCGATTGTTCAGAAACTTTGTGAAGCAGAACAGAAAATATGTGAGCAGCAGCGGCTCAGGAGGGAAAGGATTTGCCCAGTGATCAGAATGTTGCTTGTTCGATTCTGGCTCCTCCTGAACCTTTGCTGCACTGTCCTTGAGCAAGATACTAAACGTCAAACTTGGAGGTAGCACCTTGCCTGGCACTTCAGTGTGAGTGTGTGAATGTTTGGCACTGATACATAAATGACTTTAAGAGCCTTAATGAGTAGAAAAGTGTTACATAAATGTACAATTTAACACACAGTTGAACCATAGTTGTACCTTCTTGAGCATAGTTATGTAGTTGAGGAGGAGCGACGTCGCTTCTCTGGATGTTTCCTCTCACTCTTCCTTTAAGTCTGGCTGCCAGTTGAGGGTTCCTCTGAAAGACAGAAAATAAAAGACTTGACCTGTAAATCAAAACATCGTGTTCGTCTATGTAACAAAAAGTCTTGTTACATCAGTGTCGTGAACCCCCCCTCGGCCACAGGAGAGCTCACTCGGGTGGGGTAAAAGGATGAAGGTTTTGGTGTAAGCCCCACTAAAAGGGCTCCTGAATTCAGATGAAGACGTTCATGATGCTTTATTTTGCTAATTGAATAACTGTTAGAGTATTAGAGATTAAGAGTGTTTTGGTTTAGATATTAGAAGTGTTTTTGTGACCCATATTACCCTGAGTTACTTATTTTGCTTTGATTTAATCTGATTTGTTTCCCTCATATTGATTTGCTTAATTCTTTCAATTTAATTTTTAAAGTTTAGGTTGTTTTGCAATAATTTCTGTAACCGTTATGTTTGTGTGCAGGAAAAACAAGGACCTTCTGTTCTTTTTACAGTTGACCTTTATTTGACACTGAAGTATGAAACTTATTGTTCTGCGGTGTGCGAGGGGCCTGTATGCAAGGCGGTTGCGAAGCTTCCTGTTCCTTCGACGAAGCGAGGTGGCCGTTGCTTCACATCTGGCTGGGGCAGAGGCGTAGGGGTTTAGAATGGTGAAGATTGTGGTTTCTAAGAAAGTGTTGCCTGTACTTGAAAAATGTGTGCTATCTGTGACGTACTGATCACTTTGCATGTACCTGGGTGGAGTTCTGTGACCTCATATAAATACAGAAAATTCCGCATAATAATTCAG